TAATATAATATTATATTATATTATATTATATTATATTATATATACAGTAATAATAAGAATATAGCCTATATGAATGTATATATTTAAAACAAAAATAATTCAAAACATGCTTTTTTTGCATATGCATATAAGAATATAATAATATTCCATATATTACATAGGACTATATATTTGACTGAGATACCATGATTGTTTGTGGAGACTGATGTGTATTCTGAATTGTTTATTGTATTTGTCCTGTTCTTTTATGTATTTTATGTTTATTGTTGATTGTAAAGCACTTTGGAAAAGCGCTATAAAAAGTACAACTTATTATTATTATTGTTATTATTATATATAATATATTATATTATACAGTAATAAATATGTGTGTGTGTGTGTGTGTGTGTGTGTGTGATTATGCATACATCCAACATATAATATAATAATATCTATAATATTAAGAAAACCAATTATTAATTTTATTGAATATTATACAGCAATAAGAATATACATGTATATGTATATAAATAAAATATTCAAAACATATATATGTACATATATTCAACATATAATAATATTCTATTCTAATAATGTTCAAACATATGCATGTGTTTTATATTTTTGAACCGGTTTATTGAAACGAACTGTCCGAAAGAACCGGTTCGCGGAAAAGAACCGGACTTCCCATCACTAATCCCTCGGAGTCAGTCAGCTGTGGAATGCCGTGAGGAGGACTGCGAGAGGGGCGAGCGTCGGTGCGCGCTTGTGCTGCAGCGCCTCTAGCGGTAGGATGATGAATAGCCGCGCTGTGGCGCTCAGCGCCTCTAGCGGTGTTATGATGAAACAGCAGGGCTTTAGCGCCTCTACTGGTAGAATGGGATCCACAATCCAAATAGACAACCGGCAAAGTACAGTATACTGCTACCTACACCACTCAGAACATATAATATAATATAATATAATATTATATTATATGTTCTGAGTGGTGTAGGTAGCAGTATACTGTACTTTGCCGGTTGTCTATTTGGATTGTGGATCCCATTCTACTTTATTGAATATTATACAGAAATAAGAATATACATGTATATGTATATAAATAAAATATTCAAAACATATATATGTACATATATTCAACATATAATAATATTCTATTCTAATAATGTTCAAACATATGCATGTGTGTTATAGGCCTATATATATATGTGTGTGTGTGTGTGTGTGTGTGTGTGTGTGTGTGTGTGTGTATACATATACAGTGTACACACACACACACACACACACATTCATTCATACATACATACATATAAATGCAGATCTAATATATATAGCACATGCATTTTTGACTATTTGGTTTTATATATCTTTTAGAATATTATTCCATAATATTATTATTCTAAATTCCTCGCTATTGTTGACACTATTCTCATCATTATTCATATGATGCTGTACAAGTACAGTAGATCTGTATAATAATAGTCAATATGAATATTATACATTTGTATGAATATTATGTATCGTATTTACATTATGCACCAAACTAAACAATAATAACAATAATAAAAACAAAATATTAATAGTAAACATTTAGATGGATATTATGTATCTACATTACGCACCAAATAACCATTTTTCCTGCATTTCAGGAGGTTATCATGATAGATAGTCCTCCTGTCCTGTTAGAAAAAAACAAGCTCAGAGATCCAAAAGCCTAGTGCATGCTCACATTATGACGTAATCCTGTGAAAGAGCACGCGCTCTTCTCAACAATGTCGACCACCAAAACACAGCAGACGCGCCGCGCGCCTCCGTCCATCAGAGCCCAAGCGGAACCGAGCAAATGAAAGTGAAATCTCATCGCGGTGCGGTAAGTCTGACGCGCGCATCAGTGCGTCTGTCTCAGAATGCACTCTTTGATTCTCATTTTATTGCATGTACGTTTATTGTCAGGCTCACCATATCCCTTTAATGTATGTAAAAGAGGCGTGGCGGTACAGAAAGGACGCAACAACCATCCGAAAAATGTTGCATTTGCTTAGCAACAGAGGAAAAGATGAGATGTGCAATTGTCAGCTGATTGCATGATGCATATCGACGGGCTGCATGGTCGATATCTGACAAAAGTGCTTTGAGATACGCATGAAAGGTTCTAGTGTGTGTTTCATGTGAATGTTTACACCACTGTACACTATTAATATCATTTGTGTGGATGTCTGTATGCAAACACACACATACAAGCAAAACTGAAACAGAAACAAAAAGATAAGGTTTGGAATTATGTGGCCTGCTGTGCACGAGTCTGTCAATCATTATTTTTAAAAAATGTTTATCTAATTACTTTACAATACTTTTTATTTCAGCCTGTGCAATTGCTAGCAGAGCATAACAATCTTATCAAACGCAATAAATGTGATTAATGTACAAATAATAATGCTATGTATTGTTCATAATGTGCTTACAAACAGCAAGACAGCTCTGAATATGCTTCTAAAATCATAACAGACAGCACAATATGTGTTAGGTGTAATGCTACATTTTGCATGTCAGTGCTTATTTAATTTCGTTCTTTAAAGTAAGATTGCTTGATAAATAGCTAGGTAAAAGATAATGTTCAACATTACAAAAAATAAATAATAATAATAAATAATAAATAAATTCAGATCATCGGGACCTTTATGTGAAACTTAAGGTTTTGCGTCTCCCTGAAATCATCTGCCTGACTTTGCATTATCTATTACCAAATAAATAAATGACATGAAATAATGATTTGCAGAGTATGGAAACCTGTTTCCGCCATGAAATAATTGTAATCGCAACTTTTTATTTTTCGCAATTCTGAGTTTATATTTCACAAGAAATATCTCACAAATATAAACTCAGAATTGCAAGAAATAAACTCGCAATGTTGAAAAAAGAAAAAAGTCTGAATTTTGAGAGATAAACTCAAAATTGTGGGATATAAACTCAGAATTATGGGATTCAGAACTTGCAATTCTAAAAAAAAGTCAGAATTATAAGATATAAGCTCACAATATTGAGAAAGTTAAGTTTGAGCTATAAACTCAGAATTGTGAGCTATGAACACGCTAATGCGAGAAAAAAAAAAGTCAAAATTGTGAGATAAAAAGTTGAATTGTAAAATTGTTTTATTTATTTAATTCCATGACGGAAACAGTGGGGGAAAAAAAAACAGAATTGCGCGATGTAAACTCAGATTTCAGAGGGAAAAAAGTCAGAATTGCGAGATATAAACTCAGAATTGTGAGATGCAAACTCACAAATGCGAGGATGTAATAATGTAATAATCTTTATTTTTAATGGAAAATCCCTGTTGTCTATACTTAATAATAGTTTTCTGCCTCTGTGGATTCTCTTTTGTTTAGATCAGGAAGGTTTAGAGGAGGACATGGCTGCTCAAGAACCCTCTCCCCCGTCCTCCATGGAGAACAACAAGCCCGGGTTCCCAAAGAAGATTCTGGCCAACAAACTTGAAGACAAACATTTATGCAGCTGCTGTCAGAACATTTTGAGGAGACCGTTCCAAGCGCAGTGCGGCCATCGCTTTTGTTCTTACTGCTTCAACCGAACTGTTGGGTAATTCAGTCTGCTGATCAAAAACAGATGCAGTTATTTGGCCGATACAATTCAGTTCTGATGCAATGACTTTAAAACATTCATTGGGGCGATTGACACATACGGAAATACCGGAATGATGACACTTTTACCGTTCAAAAGTTTGGCATCTTTTATTCTTATATTCACTAAGGCTGCATTTATTTGATCAAAAATACAGTAAAAACTGAATAACTGTTGTTCAAAATAACTGTTTTCTATTGACTGGTTTTGTGCTCCAGGGTCACATATTTTAAATTGTAATTTATTCCTGTGATGCAAAGCTGAATTTTCAGCATAATCACTCCAGTCTTCAGTGTCACATGATCCTTCAGAAATCATTCTAATATGCTGATTTGCTGCTCAAGAAACATTTCTTATCATTGACAATGTTGAAAACATTGCTTCATATTTTTGTGGAAACCGTGATACATATTTACAGGATTCTTGGATGAATAGAAAGATCAAAAGAGCAGCAAGTATCCAAATCTTTTGTAAAATTATAAATGTCTTTACTGCCACTTTTGATCAATTTAATCCATAATTTCTGTAAAAAGTATTTTTTTCCCACCAACAAATCTTACTGACCCCAAACTTATGAACAATAGTGTAATTTTGAGGTATAAAAGTTTTTAGTTTTTTTTTGTATGCAATATTTTTTCTTATAGTTTTACCGTGGAATCTAATATATATAATGATAGTAATTATAAGTGATTATACATAAAAAAAAAAATACAATTTCACATCACAACAAATATTTAAGCATTGATGCCAAAAATGTTGATGTCAAAATAGCTAATGTGTGTTGCATTGCCATTTTAGATCAGGACCACAGAAATGTAATGCCTGTATCAAGGAGGACATCTTCGAAGAGCCCACGTCGATCCTCAAACCAGGCTGCGTAAGCGCAAAAGCTTTGCTTAATGTGAATCCAGACTTGTGAGCATTTTAAAAATGATTTAAAGCCAAACCTTTACTGCAGAGCATGCCCATTCTCTGTGTTTTCTTGCAGGCGTTTCCCGACAATGCTGCCAGAAGAGAAGTTGAAAATCTTCCAGCTGTGTGCTTCAACGAAGGCTGCTCCTGGAAAGGCAGTATTAAGGATTATGAGGTTGTGTTCATTAACATTAGCTTTATTGATATACAGGAGCAGAAGTATTTAGACACTACATATGCATAAATATTCAGTATAAATGGAGAGTTTCTCATTATTCAGTTGGTAACTTGTGTCATATTTTTCGTTTGTTTTTTGTAGCTGAGCCATGAAGGGAAGTGTGAGTTCATGATTCTGCCGTGTCCCTTGTGCAAAGAGCTCATTAGACTGAACGAACAGGAGCGTCATAATGAACGCGAGTGTCCTGAGAGAACTCTCAACTGCAAGTACTGTAAAGAACCATTTCACTTCAGAAACATCAAGGTAAGTGAGTGGTCTGAGAAAATATGTATTAATTTGAAAGGTGGGAAAAAAGCATTTTATGTTACAAAATGATGCTTTCACAGGCCCATGATGAGATCTGTCCCAAATATCCTATGATTTGTGAAGGATGTGCGAAGAAGAAAATCCCCAGGGAAAAGGTGTGGTAATCAAAAACATCACACAAAATTACAGTATTATTCAGTAACACTCAGTTAAGAAAACAGAACTAGCAAAACTGTATGTACGGATGGTCGATATTTAAATTTCTTTGCGCTCCTCTTTTTAGTATGTTGACCACATCAAGTTCTGCAGCAAATTCAGGACTCCATGCAGATATCATGTGGTTGGCTGCGACATGTCAGTAAGTAGTTTTCATATCTAGAACCCTATAATTTAACACAGTTGTACACTCTAAAAAATGCTGGGTTAAATATAACCCAGTGCTGGGTAAAATAGGGACAAACCCAGCAATTGGGTTGTTTTGACCCAGCGGTTGGGTTACTACCCAGAAGGTTGGGTTAAACATTTAAAACCAACCGCTGGGTCAAAACAGCCCAATTGCTGGGTTTGTCAAGAAACATTTCTTATCATTGACAATGTTGAAATCATTTAACCCAGCATTTTTTAGAGTGTACAGTTTTGAAAACAAGTTTACAAATAATAAACACAATCAGTTGGAGTCAAAAAATGGTCATGAACTACCCTTTTCTATGGAATGATATTCCGGACAATATTCAAAAGGAATTGCAAATAGTATTCGCAGTTGCGTTTTCAATTTGTGGATGCATACATTGTGACATAATCCAAACGGAATTGCAAATCATGCATTTGTGTTTCCATTTTCTTTTCCGTGTATGTAACATGTCTGCCAAATTTAAAATGGAAACGCAAAGTCCATTTGCAATTGCATTTCCAAGTATTACAAGTTATGATTTTGTCATTTTTGAATAGCAATAGAAAATCACCCATTTGTTGTTTCACTTTCTCCGTGTCCTGCTCCAACCCGCACAAAACTCAAATGGAATCGCAATCCCTTTGCACTTGCCTTTTCAATATTGTCTGGAATATCATTCCATAATTTTCTTTTTCTCTATCCCAAACCTCAGTGTACAGCATAATGTACATACAACACAGGGTTAATTTGTTTTAAAGCAAAATGTTATTATTGGTCTTAAAGCTAAAACCAAAACCATGAAAATCATTGGTTACTTGAAATAAATTAAATGTTAACTGAAAAAAAATTCAATAATATATATATATATATATATATATATATAGATGGATTTAAAAAACTAATAAAAAAAACAACAAAAAAAAACTACAAAATTACTAAAATTTTAACTAAAATTAAAGTGAAAGAAAATAATAAAGAATAAAATGTTCAGAAAATAGCAGTGGAACTGAAATAAATCTGGTATGTGAGGAAATAGACTAGTATTACTTAAAATATATAAAACTATTAAAATGTTTAATTGAAATAAAGTAAAAAATATTAAATGAAAAACTTAAACTTAAAAAAAAAACTTAAACGACTTGGCAACAAACTGAAATAAAATAACTAAGTTGAAGTACTAAAATTGCTAAAACTGAAATAAATCAAAATCAAAACTAAATAAAAATATTAAAACAATTAAAAAAATGACAACAGCACATAACAAAATTACAAAAACTTAAACTTAAAAAACTTTTAAATTCAATTTAAATTTATCAAATATCACTGTTTCATACAGATACAAATGTAAAACTAGAAGTTGAAATCAAAATAAATTAAAAATGAATAGAAATGTTTAAAAAATAATAAAAATGACAAGCACATAAAAATATCAAAA